CGGCGGAGCGACGGAGACAGCACCTGGATGCATATCGTTCCGTCCTTTAGAAGACGCGGACAACTCCTCTCACAGAACGCTGGGTCTATTTATATATAAGTCTATGATGCACATTAGTCTACATAGTTCTAAGCATATGTAGCTATGTCATTTTGTGTATAATGGCCGTTATGATATTAGTATTCTACAAACCCAAAGACTACACTCATATGCATTTAATCATATGCATGTAATTTAAATGTATGTGTGCTATATTTTCTAATCACACCAGAAACAGTATATATTACATATACTGTATCTGACAGTCCGCAGTCTGTGCAAAGTGAGACGGGAAAATATGCACACTTTCTCAAAAATAAGACTATTTTAAAAGAATTTCTCGTGTCTGACTAAACTTTGACTTATACTACTCACGGTCTCGGGGGAAGATTTTTGAGAATTTCATTACGTCTGACTAGACGTTGGTTCAAACTACTTGCTTCAATATATTCTACGCTAGTAGTAATATTCGAGTAGAGTCAGACGTTCAAAAGCTACAAGTCTCAGAAAAGATTTTAGAGAATTTTCTTACGTCTGACTAGACGTTGGTTCGAACTACTCGCTTCAAAATATTTTACGCTAGTAGTAATATTCGAGTAGAGTCAGACATTCGAAAAATACGGGTATCGGGAAGATTTTAGAGAATTTTTCTTACGTCTGACTAGACGCTGATTCGAACTACTTGCTTCGAAATATTCTACGCTAGTAGTAATATTCGAGTAGAGTCAGACGTTCGAAAAATACAAGTTTTAGGAAAAATTTCAGAAAATTTTCTTATGTCTGACTAGACGCTGATTCAAACTACTCGCTTCAAAATATTTTACGCTAGTAGTAATATTCGAGTAGAGTCAGACGTTCGAAAATACGGGTCTCGGGAAAAATTTCAGAGATTTTTCTTACGTCTGACTAGACGTTGGTTCAAACTACTCGCTTCAAAATATTTTACGCTAGTAGTAATATTCGAGTAGAGTCAGACGTTCGAAAACTACGGGTCTCGGGAAAGATTTCAGAGATTTTTCTTATGTCTGACTAGACGCTGATTCGAACTACTTGCTTCGAAATATTCTACGCTAGTAGTAATATTCGAGTAGAGTCAGACGTTCGAAAACAACGGGTCTCGGGACAGATTTCAGAGATTTTTCTTGTCTGACTAGACGTTGGTTCGAACTACTTGCTTCGAAATATTCTACGCTAGTAGTAATATTCGAGTAGAGTCAGACGTTCGAAAACTACGAGTCTCGGGGAAGATTTCAGAGAATTTTCTTATGTCTGACTAGACGTTGGTTCGAACTACTTGCTTCAAAATATTCTACGCTAGTAGTAATATTCGAGTAGAGTCAGACATTCAATATAGAACGCTTAGTATACAATAACGTGCATATTTTTCCGTCCCACTTTGTACAGACTGCGGACTGTCAAATACAGTATTTTATATATACTGTTTTTGGTGTGGTTAAAAAATATAGCACAATAATATATATTATAATAAA